TGTAACCTGCCATGTGGTGGACAGATAGATAGATAACTTTATTTATAAACGGTAAAATCTTTCAGCACGTTCTAGGAGAATAAAACGTCTAATTCTGCCCAGCTAAGCTAACTGATAATTAGTACAGTATTTAAAGAATAAAAACCTATCATATCACTAAGGTTACTTTTCTAGGATGCTGTATCTCATTCAAAGTCATAATGAGGCAGTTTTTATCTAAATTCGCTTAAAGAAACTGTTAATTGGAGTTCATGAGAAAGGCCATTCCACAACATAGCACCTCTGTAAGAAAAACTTCCTGTAAAGTAGTTGGTGCGGGGTTGTGGAAGAGCCGATTTATTCTTAGAATTCCTCAGTCTGTATGAAGTGATATCATTTCGCGATACAAATCTAGATTGTAGATATTCAGGAGTCAATTCATATAAAGTTTTGTGCATCATAACAAAGGTGGCTACTAGTCTTAGATGACCAAGTTTTCGCCAGCCTTTTACAAAAGGATTAGCAAAATTGCTAGTCGCTTAATACCATTTTTTAACTGTGCATTATGCAGACTTACTTCGCATGTTTTAGCTTCGGTCTCTAGCAAAGCCTTGATCAGACTGTCATCACCGACTCTGTAACGAAGTGACGTTTCCGAGATGTCAAATCAACAGCTTGATCAAAATGAAATTATCACTGGAGACATATAACATTGAGTCCAACGACTAGTTTACCTCTTAATTTGTTCCTGAAGGACTTGAATCATAACGGATGCTTCCTCTACAACAACCACAGCTATAAACAAACAAACAAAAAAACAAACAAAATAAAAAAGGTTTAGATCAATGATATATAAAGGACGTTTTTGTAAGCCAGAGTCATTTTTAGGCTAACCGTCAAAAGTAGTCACAAATTAGTTTTTTGTTTCCTTGTATCGGCTATAGTCGGAGATCGGCTATATTCGGAGATCAGCTATAGTCGGAGATCAGCTATACTCGGAGATCGGCTATAGTCGGAGATCGGTTATAGTCGGAGATCCATAACGAGTAGGTATTTACCAGGGTATGAGTTTTTGGGCGAGAGAAGAGTAGAATCTTATAGATTGAGGAGAACGGATATGGTTGGAGATCCACAACGAGCCGAGTTTTTGGGCGGGTGAAGGTTGGAAGAACGGAAGGAAGAAAAAGTAACTGAAAAGACACCCTCCCCTCCCCTTCCACGCCTCGTTACACTAGAATCCAATCCCCTCTAATCCAATCAACACTAAGTGACGAATGTGGGTCCAATGTTTGGTTGAGGATAAGAAACAAGAGAGAAAAAATCCCTCCCACCTAATTGACTGATAATTGAACAAAGCTCGAAAGAGTTAAACGAAGAGAAAACGAGAGACAACAAAAATTGTACCATTAAGACGCTCTTTTTCATTGATCTTTACTTCCAGGTCCGCGTTCTGTTTTTGCGCTTCCTCTAACAACTTTCCATCTTCTGCAAGTTCCTTCAACAAAGATTCGAGTTTTTCTTGGCTTTCAACTCCCTGTTGCGTCAAAGTTTCACTTTCTTCTTTCAGCCGTTTAGCCTCCTTAAAATTTCTCTCTAAACGAAGAAAGTAATTCAAACACGGAATTTAAGTTGTTCTTGTGTGGCAACTTTTACACTGCAAGTATTAAACACGGGCAAAACTAAGAAATCCAGAGGTGCAATGGTATTGCATCACTCCGCTTTGTAATTGGTTCAGAAAACTCACACCACCCTCTCGACCAATTGGATGATGACAGAAATTTAATCACGTCTTGGGCAACCGCGTTTTCCCGCGCTTGACACAGTTTTCTTGTTTTTAATTTGCATTTTCATGGGCTTCCTATGTTGTTGAGATTGCGGTACTCAGTCGAGAAGTGACCTTAGCTGGGTCGTTTTGGTGTCTTTAAGAGTTAGACATATAGCACATCCAGCAACATTTCATTTCACTCTTACCACCGATTCCCTGCAACCAATCAGCTGTAAGTATTACCAAACGCGACCTGGCTACTGGAGTTTCGCGCGCTATCAACAAGAAGGCCTGATTTATCGTTGAGTTTATCGTGCTTTTATATATTTCCTATGGTCTTAACACTTTCCACCCTAACATCAGTATACATATTCTCCATACTGTTCCCTATACATTTCCTAAGGTGCTGATGAGGAGAATTTGTTTTTATAATCCAGAGCTTCTCTAGTTGATGACTATTTCCTTTATTTTCATACCCTGAATGTTTGATTTAGGGGTGATATTGTCAGGAGAATTTAGATGTCAGTCACTCTTAGGGGTTAAAAGGTTAATTGGCCATAGCGATTCCTTTGGTTCCTGTTCTGTTACGCACACATAACGTTACGCCCACGTTCATATCCTTTACCTTCAATCGCTATTTTTTTGACTGCGTCCAGATCAGAGATCTGGGACTCGATTTCATTCACAGTCTTCCTCAGGGTAACCACGCGTCTTTGCCCCATGTGGATCTTGTTGGTAAAAGTTTTTACCTCCTGGGACACTTCTTTGTGTTTGGCTTCCAGACTAAAATGTATAACAAGAATTAACAGCCTCAATAATAAAAGAATAACTTGAAAAACGCCTATGACAAATAGACTAAGCATAATGTTGACAAAAACGTCTTGATTATGCTTGGTGAATATGGGTGAAGACTGCACAGGAATACCACACCAAAGCCCCAGACCACAGGAGTCCACCTGGGTTACTGTGACACGAAGCTAATCCGGGAGATGGAATTCCAGAGGTTACCTTTCTCCCCCCTCCCTCTCCCTCCTTCCCCCACATCCTGTCGATTTGCTATTTTGCGAAGTCCTTTAAAACTCTTGTGACAGCCTCAAGGCACACCATCTCACAATTAAAACGTTTGCACATGCGCAGACCCGAAGTACCAAAAAGAAAGAGGGAGGGGGAAAAGTCATACAAAAAAAAATATATTGCATACCTTGTTACTTTGGGATCTGTGTGAAAAGTAAAATGTTTCATGTTTAGAAATACTTGAGCAGACTCCTGTTGCCCTTCTAGCTGTTTGATTAACTTTTCGTATTTTTCCAGCTCTTCTGAAGCCTCAGTTATACCATCAGTCAACCTGTGAAATAAATATTAGAAAATAAAAACTTAGTTTAGTGGAAGAGGAGGGAAGTATTGCATGACATTCCTCCTCCCGCACCCCTCCACTACCCCCAAAACAAATGTATATATAATATATATATGTATATATAAATATGTATATAACTAACTGCAGACAGTACTGTTTCGGCCTTCTGGGCCTCATCAGTGCAGTGCTGATGCTAGGATGGAGGTAAGGCCATACAGCCACCCCAAGTGATCTCACTAAATATGTATGTATATATATATATATATATATATATATATAAATGTGGGGGTTGAGTCTACCTTGGCATAAAGTGCTCATTATGCTGTGGTAGAAGAGCTGAGTATATATAAGTGAAAGAATCAAAGAGGACGTATCAATTCTCTGTTACTCTGAGTTTTGCGCCTAAGCACTCATCAGACGGAAACAGAAAGTTCTGTCTGACGAGCGCTTAGGCGTGAAACTCAGAGTAATAGAGACTTGATGCATCCTCTATGATTCTTTCACTTATATATTTATATATAAACTGAACTATTCTTTGGACTTACTCTTGTTCTTTTCTTTGACTTTCCTCTACTTTGGCATCAAAAATTTCTTGACTAGATGACAACAGCCTCTGTGGATTTTCAGTGTGAGAGTTTTAGAGTGATTTCAGTTGCAAAAAGAAATATGCAGCATACCATATATAGAAAAGATCTATTGTCTGCACCAACGTAAATCCAAAATGGAACTTAAAAAAAAATTCTACTGTCACTGCTTTTTTCATTTTTCAGGAAATTTGACAGTGACGGATCCAGACATTGAGCATGTGGGGGGGCCCCTGGTTTTTTGTCACTTGCCCCACCGGCTTTTCTACCTTCCATGATTCTTTTCAGCATGGACATAAAATGGAATGGAACATTATTCTTTGATTTAATCAAACACAGCGTGAATGGTGCAGCATGGCCATGTGTACAGACAGGGTCATACTATTCTTATTGAACATTAAAGGGAGGTCTGCTCAACAGCCAAAATGGTAATGTGGTAATCCATCTAGAGCGTATCCTTTTTACTGAAGCATGAGATGTTTGGGAGTATTTTGCCCCCCCCCCCCCCACCCCCACCCCCCCCCCATGTGTTTTAACCGTTTAACCCTGTAGAGTGACATGCTTCTAATTTCTCCTTACAATATCACCCCTGAATCAAACATTAGGGTCAGGAGAACAAAGGAAATGATCAACAGCTAAAGAAGTTCTTGATTGCTAAACAAATTCTCCTTGTCAGCACCTTAGGAAATGCACAGAGAACTGTATGGAGAATGTGGATAGTGATATTAGGGTGTAAAGGGTTCACTCACAAATTCTTCCTGAAGTGACCTCTCTCTTCTTTCTATTTCCTGATGCTGTTTATCAAGGGCTTGTTGCTGTGGGCTGAATTCCAACTTGACAGAGTCTATTTCATTGTCTTGCTCTTTAATGAAAGCTGTTAATTCTGATTCTTTGGTTCTCAACTTGGCCAGCTTAGCCTCCAGTGATGAGATTTTTGCCTATGACAAATTGAGATATTCTTTACTTCAACGAACTTTTTTCACTTGCTAACATTAGAACTATCATCTTATCATCCTCAGGTGAAGACAACAAAGATTGAATGTTCCTATGAGCTATAAAAATATTTGCTATAAAATTGTGGACCAAAGTTCATGATGATAATAAGACAGAGTAACTGATATCAAATATTTCTATGATCATACTCATATATATATGTGTATATAGTTTGCCAATAATTTTGCTCCCTTGAGCTCATTTCAAAAATGAATTTATGGGAAGCTTAGAGTAGTCATTTTTTTTCCTAGTGCAAATGAAAACAAACAAAAATTGAAGCTTGTTCACAGTGAAGAACAGGGGAGATGTTCATCCAATGTATGGAGCATGGTGGGTCAAAACAATATACTGAATGTTCTATTACAAAATTAACTTCGAAAGCTCAAATTTGACAAGTTTTGGAACCCAAGATAACAAACTATTTTTTTCTATACTTTTTCTTTTTTTTTTTAACTGACCTGCAAGGCTCCCCTCTCTAAAAGCAACCCCTCCTTTTTGGTTTGGAACTCCTCAGTTTTTAGCAGAATTTCTTTACTTAGTTCCACACCCTCTGCCTCCATATGCTCCTTGTCAAGCCTCAGATGGTCCATTGTTCTTTCCAGTCTCTGCCGATCAGAATTCAGATGCTGTTTTTCCTTTGCACTCCAGGTAGCCTGAGTATCTGTGTGTCTGACCAGACACTCTTTTTGTTCTTCT